ACACACTATGTGTGCAGGGAGCAGCCACCAAGGCCCTAGAGGGTGCCCAGGGCTCCCCCTGCCTTACATGCTGGTCATGGAGGTGCAGCAGTGACTCACTGTGGTTCCTGAAGATGTCTAGTGTTCAGCCTAGCACCCACAGACATGCTATGGGTGTGGCAAGTAACCACCAAGGCCCTAGAGGGTGCCTGGGGTTCCACCTGCCTCACACACTCGTCAGGGAGGCATAGCAGCAACTCACCAGGCTTTCTGAAGATGTCCAGACCTTCCTATTTTCTTCTATAGCCTAATGGAATTATTTCTTTACTTTGATTGCTCTTCTTTCAGAAACTTTAGGTGTGTGACTTCCAAGTTCTTCTATGTCAATATTTCCTGCACTTGTTCTGGATTGGATGGAGATCTGAAGTTACATTTTTCTCTTTCATTTTGACATTTCCAAAGCTGCCAAAGTTCACCAGGGCTCAGCATATTTTTTCCATCTTTAACTTATGATTTCTAAAATTGTCATGGGGTGTTAGTTTCATTCAGCTGGAATGAAGGAACTTAGACACATGATCAATCTAAGGAAAGTTGGGAACTACAGTCTGCATATGTGCCTCCAAAAATGGGGTAGATTATAATGAACTTCAAGCAATCTTTGCTACCAAATCTTATCCACTAAGTCATTGTTGCATCCACAATCCAAGTGTGCTGGGGAAATGGGGTAGTTTGCTAAGAGGCCAAAGAAAACACCAGAGATAATTTGGTAGATGTAAAAATTATTACTGACATATAAATGAGAAAGGCTAGGGTTAAGAGACATCAGAATAAAATAGAGTCCAGTGGTAGCACGCTTGACAGGATAGTTACCAGAAAACCCTTGAGTGTCTGGTGGTACTGGGCTGGACAGAAAATTGCCAAAGCAATGCAATGTGTCCAATAGTGGTCAACTGACTACAGCACTTCCAGTGCTCAGTTGTGTACTCAGCTATTGGAGGGAAGGGATTTCATAGATTAAATGTTTTTACAGTGACTTTCTCTGTACATTCGTTTTACATTCTCTGTACATTTCTTTTTACATTCACTTTCTCTGTTCCATTGTATGATTAGTACTTCAAGAAAATGCTGACATAGTAAATGGGCAGAAAGGCAGTTTCTACACAGAGCATGAGTGTGCCCAGTTCCCAGTGTCCCTTGGATATTTATCTGGAAATTCTGGTCCCTGTTTCCTTATGATGTGCCCTTGGCTTAGCAAGTGTCTGGAACACAAAGGGGGCATGTCAGGGATATGGTGCCAAATGCCCTAGTTTTTCTCAAGGACTGTATAATCCTGAATTTTATTCTTTCCTCAAATTCTTTTGAAGAGGCAAGAAAATAAAATTTTTAAAGGTGCAAACCCATATACGCATAAAGATGCAGGGGAGACAATATTTTTAGAAGCTGGAAGGTTGACAACACAAAAAGAGCTGATTGTAAAGCAGATCAAGTGGAAGTTAATATGGAAGGAGGAAGAGCTCAAGCAGATACAAATGTAAAGTGAAAACAGGAAAATACTCTCAACTGAATGACATTTTAAAACCTCCATCTACAGACTATCTGTGAAAGACTGCATTACGCTGCCCCAATCCTATACTGAAGACTCAACCTCTAAAGTGATATATTTTGAAACAGAGCATTTACAGAGGCAGTAAGGTTAAATAGGTAAGGGTGGGGCCCTACTCAAGTAGCATTTCTGTCTTTATAAGAAGAAACACCAGATTGTTCTCTCCCTCTCCCTCTCCTTCTTCCTCTCCCTTTCCTTCTCCTTCTCAGTCTCTCTCTCCCCACACATACACACAAAAAGACCGTGTGAAGATGCAGAGAAGGTAGCTGTCTACGAACCAAGAATAGAGGACTCACCAGGAATTGAACCAGCAGCCACTTTGATCTGGAATTCCTAATCCTCAGAACTATGTCAAAATGAGTTTCTATCAGTAAAACCACACAGTCTGTTTTGTTAAGGCAGCCTGGGTGAATTAATATACTTCCCAAATGCCCAATAACAGTAGAATGGGCAAATGATGGCACATTCACACCATAAACAACTTTATAGGACTGATAATGAGCACACTGCAGCCATGTACAACAACAGAGATGGATCTCACACACATCGTGTTGGGAGAAAGAAGACAAGAGCATATGATTCTGTTAATGTAAAGCACAGAAATCAGGAACGAAAACTCTTTTCAGGTTATTGATGAGACTTCTCCTTTCTAAATGTTACAGAGAAAATGACCATGTATATGATATTGGCTTCTTTTTTAACTATACGGTAAGCTTCCTATTTAATCCAAGTTTCACAATTTATTCTCACCAGCAAGCAAGAACCATCTAAGCAGAGAAGTATGTTCTTCCTTTTACAGAGCTGCCCTCTGGTGGAGATTAGGAAAATACACAGGTAAAGAGGGTTTGTCTTTAAAGCTTTGCTTTGGTCTGATTTAATCAGATTCAAGATTGTTTGGGTACAAAACAATTCACCTTTCTAAAAGAAGTAATTTTTTTTATTTTAGAATACAGAAGTGATTAGGTATTTTATGTGTTACAATGATGGAAAAGAAATGGTGGTTTGGACATACATTTAGCACTCAGATTACTAAAGTGATGTGGCTCTTTAGAAAGTGAATTTGCAGAATATAAAAAAAGAGTAATTCTGAAAGGGCTTGGACTTTGAACTAGTCCATTTTCTGCAAGTCTTGTTACCATAAAAAATATTTAAAAATGAAAGTAGTCATTCCTGAAGTTGCTTGTCAAGTTATGCCCATAAGAAATATCCAAGACACTAATGCAGATTGGAGTAGGGACTCTAGCAACATAGAAAATACAATGCCCCCTTGTTTGGACTCAATAGTTCCAAATCAAAAGTATGCAATAGCATGCCTAAAAACTGAAAAAATGGATGTCCAGGCTCATCCAAGAAGATTCTACTTCACTTGGACTGGGAAGTGGCCTGACTATTGGAATTTTAGGAAAACCCTCTAAGAGATTCTTCTGTCTACACTCCTGATCAAAAAGACTCAATTAAATTAGAAAATTAAAGTCAGATGCCAAGCGTCATTTGTATATAAATTTTTACTCCATGATACATCTGTTTGCATGTGGACAGGCAAAAGGAACACAAGAAAGCCCTATATCTGAAGGACATAGGCCCTATATCAGAATATGTTCCACTTACCCTATCAAGACACCTCCAAAACTTAGAACCCTGCTCAAGGATGCTGGGGCTGCAAGCAGAAATAAAGAATGTGTATAATATCATTTAATATTATATTTTAGAATGAGTGATGTTTCTCCAAATATCAGTATAGGAATTAGTCTTCTGAGTTCATGAAATTTTCAGCTTATCTGAATATGGCATAGGCCTTCTGGAGCCATAAACTATCCCAAGCATCACTGATTCATTTTTCCTGTGGCCACCAGAGCCAAAGACAACCCAACAACCTTGCACTATATGCTGAAATAAGCATCTTGGGAAAAAAGGCCTCCCGTAGAGAGACACAAGAAGGCCTGGTTTTGACTTGCTATCAACTCAAGATCTTGAGGGAATCTGAGGGCATCTTTGTGTCTCACTGCACGGTGAGATAACAGAGGTCCAAACCTACATTTTCAGGGATGAGGTAATGTCAAAAAGAGAAATGGGACCTGTACAGGACAAAGAGAAATGGTGTAGGAAGTTAAGAGCTCATGCCTTTGTAAAGGTGGGTAGCTTCTACTCAATTCTTGCAGATGCTTTCATCACAGTTTTAGGGAACCCTTGTGCAGGCTGTGCAGGAGGTAGCATTTCAGAGGACGTGTCATTCCCACCATAAATATAGATGTTGATCAACAGTTTCCTGGAAGATATTCATACATGGCTTTGAGAAAATGGTCCCTTCTGATATGCATGAACGTGCTCTATGGGCTGTTGGAGGTCCAGGTTATCATATGGGAATGCAGCTCTGTTGGTTCTGCACTTTTTTTTGTTTCTAGAGAAACTGGAAATATGGCATTTAATATACAGTTCCTATAATAAAATTACCAGGCAACTAAGTCCAAAACATTTTTAACACTGTTCAGACTAAATAAAACACGTCTGAGGCTCAGAATCAGATAATGAGTTAAAAATCCCTGGGCTATAGGAATTCAAAGTACCTGGCAGTTTAGCAACCTTCCTATTCTGTGTGCACCAGGTGTAGTCTTGAGGCAATTTCAAAAAAATCTAATAAGTGTCTTGAATTATATGGACATAATAAGAATTACACAGATATGAAAAGTAAGAGTGTATCTTTTACATGATGGTATGTAAAACGTTCTCCCGATCACATGGCAAATTTCAATTCACCTTTTTTAAAAACAGTACTAAGTATTGAATGAGGGCCTTCTACTCATCTTTTTTTTTTAATATAAATGCTATTTCTTCAAAGTCGTCTACTCACATTTCAATCTAAATTAGGTTCCTTCCATTACACTTTTAAAAACACATTGCTTTTCCTGGGAAGTACTTATGAAATTTAAATCAGATTAACTTGCCTCAGATAAACAACTGTCTGCTTGCTAGCTATTTGGCTATGTTTTTATTCACCACTGTATTCCTGGTGAGGAAATGCCTGGTACCCCAGTGAGGAAACTTAGTGTATGTTTTCTGAATGGTAAGTTAGTCTTGATCCTATCAGGGAAGTCTCTCTTCTGCTTCACGGCTCTGATCTAACACTTGATGCCTGATGTATGTTTTCCATTGCTGAGACTGATGCTCTCTAGCATCATCCCTTCCCCTCACAGCTCAAGTGGGCTAGAAAAGTGACCCTTCTGAAATCCAGAGACGTTCAAGACATGTTGAGTTGGCTCCTGGGTAAAGCTGCCTTGGGTTAGGATAAAGGAACATGCATTTTAGGTAACAGATGCAGACACCTCTAATAAAAAGTCCACTTCATTTTAGATGTTGGGTAGAGGGGGAAAATTATCAGCACAGCATAAAACTATGCTCCCTGGATATATTTTGCTTTGATTTTATTTTATATGAATAACAGCAGCGTATTGTGACAGCTAATGGGCTCGCCCTCCTCCAGACTTTTTGAGGAAATCTTGTTGCCTTCCAGGACAATTGCATTCCTTGATGTTGAAAAGAATTTCATGGGGATAATCCTTAAGTCCATGACACATAGGCTGAGCAGTTTATTCCACAAAGATCCCCAGCAGAAATCAGCTAAACCAAGAATGAAGCTAGTGATGGAAGGAGAACAAGGAAACTTTGAACAAGGAGGAGAACAAGAACTTTGAGATACAAGAAAAATCAATATCATGAAAAAGAGTACTCCTAAGGAGCAAATGAGAAAAAGAAGGGCACGGGTAAAGAAAAGAAAATTAAGGAAGAAAGAGGTTTGAGAAGAGCTTCAGAAGCTGACATGATCAGAGGGACAATATTAGTCCAAAATTCCACTCTTTTCTCTTTCAGTCTCTGTCCAAGGCTGACGTTCAAATTCAGCATCAGGTACTGTTCTGTGTGATTGTAGGCCGGCCACAGAGGCAGATTATTCCCATTAGGATTCCTAGAAGTGAGAGCACACCCAGAAGTAAGACTTTTTATTCTCCAGCACCTGGTGCAGAGGAAGCCAGCAGCCTCACTCACCCGCTCCGAGCAAAATTAGCCCAGTATTTCATCATCTTCCTGCTCAGCAATTTCTCCTCTTGTGTAGCTTCTTCTGCAGGAGACAAACACAAATCCACCTGCTCACAAATATTCCTCAGAACATTCACACACACACACACACACACACACACACACACACACACTTTTACAAACAATTTCAAGTTTCCCTCAATTTTCCCAGGGGATTTGTTCCAGGATGCCCCTGCAGATACCCAAATCCAAGGATGCTCAAATCCCTTATATGAAATAATGCAGCTTTTGCACACAACCTATGCACATCCTCACTTGTATTTTATCATCCCTAGATTGCTTATAACATCTAATGCAATATAAAGTCAATGTAAATAGTTGTTATGCATATTGCTTAGGGAATAATGATAAAGAAACTCGGTACATGTTTAGTACCTATGCAATTTTCCCCAGGATTTTCAGTCTGCAGTTGGTTAAAGCACAGATGTAGAGGGTTAACTGTAGTGCATTTTTCTATTTGAAAAGGTAATACCTGATCTGATTTATGTCTACATGTCCCCCCAAAGCCTCATGTGCTCATAGTGTTTTTTTCAGAGGTGGCTGAATCTAGAGTGTGTGACTGACTCCTAGTGCAATGCTGGGATTAAGGGTGGGTGACTGCTGTATCAGTCAAATTTGGATGTCAAGTATTTCATCTCAGCAAAGAGAAAAGAAAAGAAACTAAGACACTGATTGAAGTACAAAATCCAAAATGCAGGGAGAGTGCCTAATTCTAATATCTAACAGAAAGGAATTATGTTTGCATCACTTCCTTTCAGACACCCCGTTAACACCTCAGAGATTGTCATGGTTACCAACTTCTTGAGAACCTCACCCCCAGGATAGGCTCCACAGGCGTTCAGGTGAGTGGACAGTTTCTACACATTTGGCAGTATACTGGGCACATGTTCTGCATCTTGGTTTTTTTTAACTGAATTTCTATCTAGAAGATGGTTCTACACTGTCCCCTATAAAGCTGTCATCTGTGGTCCCATAAGTATACATTAATTTAAATATATATCTGTATGTAATTATATTCATATAATATATGCATCTAATATTCAATTATTGTTTCCAGTCTTCTATTGGTGAACTCAATGTTTAGTGTGCATGTATATTTTTATGCATGTGAAGTATAATTATACAAAAAGAATCTTAGAAGTAGAATTCTCAGGCTAAACACTATGCATTTTAAGTGTTGATAGAGGTTTCTGGTGTATGAAGTTTGTTTCCCTTGCTGGCTGGAATGCAAGGTTTGAAATATATTGTTCTTTGAAACCTTGATTGATGACAAATGATTACCTGGCCAAGGGTAGTCTACGGTTCTCTTGCCGAGAGTGACACTAAGTGGATTTTCATATACTTAAAAACCACTGTGTTTCTTTTTCCATAAACTGTGCACTTACATGTTACTCTGTCTTCAATCAGGTTGCTCTTTCTTTGTTACTTTTAGGAGCTCTAGATATCAAAGAATTTAGCTCTTTAATACACAGGTTATTTATTTTTACAGCTTGGAGACTCTACATGCCATCACATAGTACAGGACCAGTAAATGCTTGCTGAGTAAGAATAGTGACATTTATTAAGCACCCACTGTGTGCTTTATGAACATTGTGCCGTTTCAGCCTCATGACATCCTGGAGGGCAGGACTGTCATTATCCATGTAATGAGGATGAATAAAGAAAATAAAAAATAAACCACAGCCCATAAATGGGATGCTCTGTCATCATTGTCCAGAAACCAGTAGGGATAAGTAAAGAGCCTGCATTATATAATGTTTTAACTAAATATTTCAATAATTATCCCTGCATGTAATTTTCATGGAATTTTTTTCATTGATAGCCTCATCTAAGTGGTTGGTTATTTTCAGCACTGAATTCATCAGAAATTCAAGAATAAATGAGTTATCATGAGTAACAGTTCAAAATTTCATCTGGATCCAGACACGCTGAGCTGAAATTATTTAAAAAGGGTAAGGGTCTTGTCTTTTAAAGACCTGGGTGTAAGCCTCAAAGGATTTTAAGATGCACAGGGACAGTGAGACCAGTGATCATAGAAATGGTTCTAATTTTTTTTCAAAAAATTAGCCCACTTGAGTGTCCTTAAGTGCCCACCTCTCAGGCTTCCATACAAAGTGAAACGCTCATCTAGAAAACAGTCACCACCAGCTCTTTTTCATTTTGGTTTCTGAAACATCTGAGAGAGGACGTTTTCCACACAAAGGGTATATCTATCTGTAAACCATAGTGGTGATTAAATCACAACTCCCCAGTCATGCTGGGCTAACAATCTATAGAGAATTATAGACTATTCTGGGTTGAGGAATCACTGTCATCAATCAAGTTTTCAGTGAACAATGTATTTTAAACATTGCATTCCAGCAGATGTGGGAAACAGTTTCATGCATTCATAGAGACCTCATCAACATTTAAAACATGTGTAGTCTTTATCCTGACAATTGTACTTTACTTCTAGGATTTTTTTGCATATTATACTTCCACATGAGCAATAAATATGTGTGCACCCTAAGCACTGCTCTAACCAACAGAAGGTAAGAAACAATGTAAAGATCTGTAAATATAACAATGCATTATATATTCACATATAATTATATAAGTGGTATTTAAATTTATGTATGATATGTTTATAGAACAACAAATGGTCATGGTGGGTGAGTCAGGAACCTTATATTAACAGGAGAAAGTCAATTATTTTCTCTATCTCACTCCAAGTTTCGTGTTCCTGCAAGGGCAGGAGCCCCTTTAGCTAGTTTCTTACCAAACATGACAATATCCCCCGTCAGAAAGGCACCTCCAAAGACAAAGCGGATTTCATCAGAGTGGTCTGCTTTGACAAAGGCTGGTTTTGTATCTTCAAAGCACTGGGGCCGGTGTTGAAACTCATAGAAGTAAACAGGTGCACCAGCATCTAATAAAAGGTCAGAAAGGTCAGGCATGCATTTGTTGGAGCAAGGGGCTGGCCCTTCCTCCCTCCCTATCAAGTCTAGGTTTATAGAATCATGAGTGGGACAGCTCAGAGATAAGGAGTGATCTAAACCAGCCTACATTTCCCTTTTTTCATTTGAGGCTGGATTTCTCTGCTATAGCAGCCCTGGTGACACTGAGCCCACAACTGTCAAAGGCATTCAAAGAAGGTAATTGTTCTTGTCTGCAAACAGATATACTAAGCCAAGATTTACCCTGTGATTTTCTCTCACTGATTTTGCTTCCAGTGTCCATCAATAAACAGAGTAAGGCTAATTCCCTGCTTCCAAAAGAAACTCACAATCCATGTATGTGAACCTACATGGCTTGACTTCTCTTCTATGAAAGGTCTTTCCTCTGTAGTTTCCAACACCCAGGTGCACACACATACACACACACATGGACACACTTGCACAACACAGTCTCTCACATAGGCACACATGCACACACACACATACACACACACACACACACACACATACACACACAGTTTCCATTCCCCTCCAATTGTTGGGCTATTTCTCTGCATCTCTTCCAGCAAGAACCCAAAATATAGTTGCCTTGTGCATTATGTCTCTACTTTCTCTTCTCTTATTCTCTTTTAAAACTGAAGCATTATTTAAAGGTAATAAAAAGTACAGATTTTAAGTGCAGTGCTTGGTATATATTAACAAATATATACATAGTCATGTACCACCACCTCAGTCAGAACACAGAGCATTTTCACCACCCCAGAAAGGTCCTTCCTGGTCAATCACCCAAGATATAGGCTCTGTTCTCATTCCAATTACTATAAATTAATTTCACCTGCTCTCAAACTTCACGTTAATGACATAATACAATACGTACTCTATTATATGCTCCATGGCTTCCTTTGTTAACCATAACTTTTTGTGATTTGTGCATGTTGTTGTATCAATAGTAGATTCCTTTATATCACCAAGTACTTTGTTATTGCATGAACATATCAAAATTTGTTTATCCAGTCATGTAATGAAAGACAGCTTGTTTCCAGGTTGGGGCTCTGATGATTACACCAGCTATGAGTAGGCATCTATAAGTCTTTTGTATGGACATAAACTTTTACTGCTCAGGGAATACCAAGAAACAGAATGTGTCTGATAGCTGTGTTTAAACTTATAAGAAACTGCTAGTTTTTCTAGGTGGCTATACTATTTCCCTTTCCCTCTAGTAGTTTCTGAGAATTCTCAACATTCCACATTCTTGGCAATACTTCTTGGTATGATTTGTGCTTTAAATTTATTCTGGTGGGTATGAATGGTTACTTTGTTTTGGGATTTTGGTTCATTTTGCATTGCCTTATTGATTAATATTGTTGCACACTTTTCATGGGCTTTGAGATGTTCCTGTATCTTTTCTGAGAGATCTTTTCAAATCTTTTTCCTATTATTGTGAAAGACTATTTTTTAGTATGCATTTGAGTTCTTGTATTCCGAGTATGATTTTTGTGAGATAATTGTATTGCAAACATTTTCTTCTGGTTTGTAGTTTGCCTTTTCATTTTTAGCAGTATTTTAAGGTAAAAAATACAACATAAAATTCACCACTTTAACCATTTTACAGAATATATGCAATTCAGTGATTTTTAAGGCATTCAAAATGTTGTACAAATATCACCACTATATATATCCAGAACATTTTTGTCATTCCAAATAGAAATCCCACATCCATTAAGTACTCATTCCATTTAACCCTCCGCCCATCCCTGAGAAAACACAATTCTTCATTCTAACTCTATGGACTTGCCTAATTTGGACAGTTCATATAAACAGAATCATATAGCATATGGCTTTTTGTGTCTGGATTCTGGATTCTTTCACTTAAAGATTCATATATGTTGTAGCTTGCATTCATATTTCATTTCTATGAACATATTTATATTAATAGTTTACTACTTCAGCACTCCACTTTCAATAACAGAATAACTATACAAAATATAAAGGAACTAGAAGACTGGAGTGACGCTGTAAATTAGCTAGCCCTAATAGACATGGAGAGAACATTGCACTCAACTGTGACAGAGTGCTTATGCTTCTTCAGTGCACATGGAATATCCACCGGAACAAAACATAGGTTAGATCACAAAATATACCTCAACAAATTTAAAAGGGCAGAAATCATACAGAATATTTTCTCTGGTCACAATGGTATGAAATCAGAAATCAATAACAAAAGGAAATCTGGAAAACTGACAAATATTTGGAAATTAAATAGCATTTTTGACATTAAAAATTGTGATAAAAAAGAAATACAAGACATTCACACAGCCTTCTAGATTCCTAAGAATATGTGAGAGCTTTTCAAGCCTTTCTTCCCCAAAGTTTTATTGTTCAGCTTTTCCCCCCAATATTTTTTTTTTTTTGGTACTGAGAATTGAACTCAGGACTTTGCACTTGCCAGGCAGGTGCTTGTGCCTCCCAATATTTTAAGTTTGCTTATTGTTTTCCCTGATATCCCTTGTCCCTGAAACTGGTATAATTACCTTTAAATGTTTCCAACAGATACCTTCAAGGTAGGTGCCTCACCCTTAACAGAGTTCTGATTTATGTCTAATACAAGCAAGCCTTTTATGGAGATAGTCATTTTAGGCTGGTCAATTTGGAGCCACCAGACAGACAAGTCAAAACAACCAACTATAATTCTTTGAGAACAAAATCCATTTCCACCTCCAGTACTAAGATAGTACACAATTAATGTGGGTTGCTGTAGTTTGAGGTCATTGTTTTGCTGGGTAGCAGACAACGCTTCAAGAGTAAAAGAAAATGCCACAGAGCCTTATTACTGAGATTCAGGGGGTTATGTCTTAATTAAATGTTCACCTACTGGCTAAAAATTTGTGATCCTTTTCTAGAGCACTAACAAAAATGTCAGTTCTTGCCTGTTTATTCTCTACCTTTGTTGGATGTGGGTGCTGAAACTATCCTCCCTCACTTTGTTACCCTCATGAATAACATCTTTTGACAAGCAAAACCAATTTACTTTCATAAAATTTTAGCTTGTATATTTGGATCTACAGTTAATCTCAAAATATTATTATGTATGGTGTGAGTTAATGGTTACGATTTTTTCACATATACATCCAATTATCCCAGCCACAAGCGTTCACTGCATAAAAGTGGGCTTATTTTCTGGACTCTCCACTCATCTCTTGTTCTGCATGTCTAACCTTCAGCCAATATGAAATTTTATTTACTGTAGCTCCATGACAGTCTTTCAGCCATTTTTCAAGAATTTTTGGCCTTTGTATTTCCATATAAATTTTATAAGTAATGTGCCCATTCTCCAAAACTGCTACAAAAATTTTGATTGAGATTGGGCTTGCATTGAATCTAGAGGTCAATTTCTCCATTTTCTCATGAATCCATCTTAAGCAAGCTTTTCTTCCCTATCATGCCATCCAAGTAGTTCTTGTCAAGATCAGCAGTGACCGGGCTGGGGATTTAGCTCAGCGGCAAAGCACCTGCCTGGCAAGCGCAAGGTC